CATACATACACACACACATATATATATATATATGTGTATATATATATAATATATATATATGTCTATATATCTTGCCTTACACTGGCGAACATCAGATAGTTTGATTTCAATACTATCGGCTGGTCCAGCTAGCCTTACCTATACACAACTCAAATCACTCTCAGAATAATATGTCGCCCCACGTGATATCTTTATTGTTTATGCCTTGTTTCTTACCTTTGTATACATCCAATTGTGCGGTCAGATGAAGTTCGGTACGATCAATCTGGACAGCCAATGAAGTATGACCGAGGACTGGGCACGTGGGTTCTGGTAGGAGGTGCTATGGCCGCGACTGCGGGAGTGGCGTATGCAGCACACAGCCACCACAAGAAGGTCTGTCTGGTGAAGCGCTAGCATTTTTGTCCTGCGCGACGTATGAAACGCTTACACTCAATTGCGCATCTGAAAAATGTTGCCTTTCTGGTCAATGTATGTTAAATATGAATAACATCACAAGGAACAGGGAGTGCGGGTCCACAACTTGGTACGCCCTTTATGATTTTGCTTTGAATTTGGCATTCCATTCGTTCCAACCTTTTGGTAAAACATGAAATACTGATCAATACATACAGTGTATGCCCGCAAATCGTATTATAAGAAGGGTATCGAATGTACAACAAAGAACACGTGTTTGTGACTCCATTCTCATGTTACACCTGCCTTTGTATATGTCCGGATGTGCAGAATAAAAAAGGAAAGGACGGCAAAAAGAGTAAGAAGAGTAAGAAGAGCAAGAAGAGTAAGAAGCACAAGAAGCACAAACACAGGGAGGTTGATGGCAGCAGCAGTAGCAGTAGTAGTAGCTCCAGCGACAGTGACAGTGACTAGGAGTTGTCAACGGAGAGCGGTGTTTGCGGTGTTGTGTGTAGCTGGTAACGATACCTATATATATATATATTACTACTGTTGCAGAGCTGGGACGAAGCCACGGCGGGTGTTTGGGACTTCGCTCCGTTCGGAAGTAGACTTGTGTTCTTGTAAGAAATACGTGGGTTGCAATTGAAGTCTTGGAGGTAAAGCCACCGGTGTTTAGAGTGTAGAAAAGATAAAGTTTAATTTCTAACGGTACTTGAGAGCATCCCATACCGTGAAGCTAGTAGTGTATTCGGCTTTGTATGTTGACATGCCGTGTGGAAGATCCAGATTTAAGTGGGACAGGAAACGATTTCGTTCATTTGTTCGTTGAGACGTGACTTCTTATGTTCCGTTTACAAGTTATACTATTCATATCAGTTATATCGCTTTCATTTGTTCATTGAGACGTGACTTCTTATGTTCCGTTTACTAGTTCTACTATTCATATCAGATATATCGCTT